GTAATCAGGAGGATAATCGAATGAAGAGGGAAGGAAGAGTAGGAGGAGGAGGAGGAGGAGGAGAAGGAGAAGGAGGAGGAGGAGAGGAGGAGGAGGAGGAGGAGGAGGAGGAGGAGGACGAGGAAGAGGGGGAGCGAGGAAGAGGAGGAGGAGGAGGAGGAGGAGGAGGAGGAGGAGGAGAAGGACAAGAAGGAGGAGGAGGAGGAGAACCGAGGAAGGGGATGACGATCGAGGACCGAGGATCGAGCAGGAGAGGATCGAAGATCGAGGGAGGGGAGGTAGGAGGATAATCGAATGAGGAGGAGGAGGAGGAGAAGGAAGAGGAGGGGAGGAGGAGGAGGAGGAGGTGGAGGAGGAGGAGGAGAGGAGGAGGAAGAGGAGGAGGAGGAGTGAGGAGGGGGAGAAGGAGGAGGAGCGAGGAAGAGGGGGAGCGAGGATCGCGGACCGAGGCTCGAGCAGAAGAGGATAGAGGATCGAGGAAGGGGAGGTTGGAGGATAATGGAGGAGGAGGAGGAGGAGGAGGAGGAGAAAGAGGAGGAGGAGGAGAAAGAGGAGGAGGAGGAGGCGGAGCGCGGCCCAAGCGAGTCCCAGACTTCCTGCCTACCCGCCACCCCCCGCGCCTCTGTCACGATGCTGTCGAGATGGGCGCGTGAGAGGAAGTGCCCCCGCCTGCCTCTGGTATGATGGGCCTCTTTTCCACCGGGTCCTCCTCCTCCTCCTCCTCCTCCTCCTCCGCCTGACTACCTACCAAACCACCCCAACCCAACCCGAAGACCCGAATTTCGTGTTGGGGGGGGGTATGGGCTCCATATGTGTTTTTTTTCCGATGTTCCCGGACCCCCCCCCCCACTAGAAATCGAGGGCAAATCTGAGCCTTCGGGTTGGGTTGGGGTGGTTTGGTGGGTGGTGACCGCCTGCCTCTGGTAGGCAAGCGGGTGGCCAGACGGACAGCATCAGTGACCCCTGCCGCTGCGACGGACGAGAGAGGCAGGGACGGCTGGCGGGCAGCAGGACGATAAGCATGATATTGAAGGGGCCCCAGGACACACAAATAAATACACACAAATAAACATGTTCCCCATATTTTCCTATATTTTCTGGGTTTCTGTCTTCCCCCCCACTTCCCATATTTTCCCATATTTTCTGGGAAATCGAGGATTAATTGTGTCTGTGTGTTTTTTCCTCTCCTGAGATATAGCGAGACGATAAGAGGCGAACGAGCCTCAGCGGAAGCCGAGAGCGAACAGAGGACCAGAGGGGAGGAGGGAATGGAGAGACACAGACGCAACCCACTGGATGCGGACGCCGTCGAGAACATCATGGGGAACGGCGTCAGGAGCACTCGGGCACCCAAACACACACGAGTGGGACGGCCTCAGCATCCGCTGGCTCGTGATCTAACACCCCAACCAGATTCGAAGCGCGATAAGGCTCCACGCCACCGGGGCAACATTTAGGAGCGACTGTACGCCCGCCACATTGCCGAACCCAAAAGATGAACGGAAATGCTTCCTCACTCAAGTCCTGATCCGGCGTGCGAGGCTCCCTCGGACGAGCAACGCTCGGTGGAAACTCCCCTGGAACACGCCCTGCCACCTCGGACGCCGCCGCTCATCCCTGGGGACCCCCGCACGAAAAAGGCCGAGCGCCTCGACATCACCTCTCTGCAGAGCCAGGGCATATCTTCGAGCCAGCGCGGAGGGGTAGGGAACCCAAGAGAGGCATGTTCCAACGCACAGCCATGGAGGGCGATTCCCAGAAGTCGGGGGCGAAGTCGTCTCCATCCCACCATGCGGCAGGTTCTCGCCCAACAGTCGCCCGACGCAGCCTCGCAATCTGGACTTGCCACGTGCTGAGCGTGTGGAGAGCCGAACGCATGAGGGAAGCAGAACAGAGAGACATGGCACTTTTTAACGTCGGGCCACCCCATTCGGCGAGCTGTGGCCACTCGCCGTGGCCCATGCTGCTGCTCGGTGCTCGCCAGAGACGGGCAAACAAATGCCGCTCGGAAACTGCGAGCTGCAGCGGGAGCGGGACCAGCTGGGCCTCATACCCCAACACAGGGAGCCCACGATCGAGGTAGCGGGAGACATTCCTTGAAAAGGAAGGGCCAGCTGCAGCAATGAGGACGACTCGTTCCTTAAGCTTGGCCATGGGCGGTTCCCACTGTTCAAGCAAGGTGCTGCTGGGCCCCAAGCGGACGCCAAGATACGGAAGCTCGCCGACAATCTGAAACTCGTTCCAAGCCGACTCGGTTTGAGAGAGCACCGCGCGAACCGCCTCAGAGGCACAGGGATCTGACATCGGAGCTCCGAGGGAACAGCCATGCATTTAGGCACCTTCAAGATTAAATCAGCAAGCTTCGATGCTAGACGGATGACCCGAACAAGCACCACGTATCTCCGCCACCGCCAGAGCCCCCACATCATCCGCGCAAGCTCGGGTGCAACCTCGCCGTTTGCGGTCAATGTTTTGAAATATGGCGTGGAGGAAAACATTAGAGGCAAGCACGAACAATGACCCCGAGTGGGGGCAACCATGGAGGATTCCCGATAACATCAAACACAGCCATGCACAGGAGGAGGAGGAGCGGGGAGGAGGAGGAGGAGGAGGAGGAGGAAGAGGATGATAGAGGCCGCTCGAGCAGAAGAGGATCGAGGATCGAGGAAGAGGGTGTAGGAGGATAAGCGAAGGTCGAAGGAGGGGAAGGAGGAGGAGGAGGAGGAGGAGGAGGAGGAGGAGGAGGGGGAGGAGGAAGAGGAGGAGAAACGCCGCAAGGGGGGGCCAAGCGCCAGTCCGAGAGATCCGCGCGGGCCTCCGATGTCTCGTATGATTGGGCCGCCTTTCGTTCTCCGCTCCTCGGGAGGCACCTTCATGGAGGCCCCGCAAAGTAAAACTCGGGGTCCATCCCCGCTGCGTCGGACATGCATCGGCAACGCCGGTGATGCGTCGGCGACATCGGGCGGACAGAAATGGGCTGCAGATGGAGCCGCATTGCCGATGCATCGAGGATGCGGCGCGGACCACCGACATGGCGTTTCTTTCTTATTCCCAACGTAGATATCCGAGGTCTCGATCTCTTCTGGGGGTCGGTTCTTTGTCGACCCCAGGGCACGATGCGCGGATCAAAATGACAATCAAACAGCAGCTGAAAAATAAACTAGAAAACACCACCAATCAGTTGATTCCTGGTGGTTGTAGCATGCACACCAGGCCTGCCCTCTCTCACTACATCTCTCCCTCTCTCTCTGTCTCTCTCTGTCTCTCTCTCTCTCTATTTCTTTCTCTCTCTCTCTCTCTCCCCCTCTCTCTCACTATTTCTTTCTTTCTTTCTCTCTCTCTCTCTATCTTTATATATACATACATACATAAACATACATTCATACCCATTAATCCGGCTGGGCGCCCGGCACACTCCTGGAGGAACGGAAAGGGCGACCATTTTTATTGGCGGAATTTCGGGGATGAGTCCCTGTGGACCACCGCCCTTTAGCGGTGCTCTGCCTGTGCATTGTAAGGCGGGCGGGTGGAAACAGGGGAAGCGCAGCCGTGCTGAAGCCGACGGCTGCGGGATGAAAGGAAAAGGAAAGAAAGCGCACGGCGAAAGGCCGGATTCAGCCGTTAAGGGGGGGGCCCAATAACAGAGACAAATCACTACTGGAGGGAGGGGGGAGGAAGGCCATCTTTACTGCAGGAATTCCGGGGATGAGTCCCTTTGGACCACCGCCCACTCGCGCCAGGTCAGCCCGCCCCCAATCCGCCCCGTACCAGCGTAACAGACAGCGGGCGAGCGCCACCTCCGCATGCCCCGCAACGCCCGCCCGCCGCCCCGCAGTGGGGGGGGCGGGCACCGCCCCGACGCGCGCCCTTTTCCGCCGGCAGCCCCCCTGCCTCGGTGCCGCACGGCGCCGACGGTTTCACCAGACCGAGCACGCCTAGGACAACACAAGAGGAGGAGGAGGAGGAGGAGGAGGAGGAGGAGGAGGAGGAGGAGGAGGAGGAGGAAGAGGAGGAGGAGGAGGAGGAGGAAGAGGTGGGGGCGGAGGCGGAAGCCTCTCGTTGGCATCCTGTGTTGCTCTTGGAGCCAAACAGGGACGTGCACGAGCTACTGCCCACGCAGTCCACCCACACGTTCAGAACACCCGGCTGCTGTCCCCGCTCACAGCACTCCCGTGGGGCGCGGGCGCTCCCCTCCAAGGCCCTGGGGCCCCGTGGGTCTCTCGACCGAGGGTCCCTCCCCTGAGGAGGAGGAGGAGGAGGAGGAGGAGGAGGAGGAGGAGGAGGAGCCTGGGGACACCGCTGGCAAACAGCGTGCGCTGGGGATGGGCCCGAGAACTGCCCCTGGTGGGCCGGCACGCCCCAGCAGCAAGTGAAAAGCAAGGCTGCCCCCTCCCGGGACAATGCTCCTCTGGTGGATTTGTGGCAAGCCGCGCCTTCCCCTCGTCCGCGTTCGCCATCCTCTCCCGGGCCCCACGAGGCGCTTCCCACCGTCAACTGGTACCCTTGGGCCGACATCGCCTCCGCCAGTCCCCTTTCGGGCTCGTGCGCCTCCCACAAGTAAGCGTGGCAGGCGTTGGAGTTCCACCTCCCGAAGCGCTTGAGCCTCTCCAGGTCGGGCACCACATGGTACATGGCTGTCGCCCATCCTATGCGCAGGGAGTGACTCCCGACATGAGCAGGGTCGACCCCCATTGCCTGCGCCGCCTTGCCGAGGAGGTCCATGATGGCATTTCCCGCGATGTGATTTTCCTCCCCATCCCTGAACAGGGGGGCCCCCCTCTGAGGTCCACCTCTGCGGGGCGAGCCTCTCAAGCTCCGCCAGCGCCTTCGCCGGGCAGAGATCGCTCCCGGTGCGATAGTGGTTTCTGCAGCGGCCGAAATAATAGTGGTCGGTCTCCATTGATGTAGATGACGACCTCGTCTGCGGCTCCGAAGGTGTGGCAGACGCCTCCTCCCAGGCGGAGGTTTACATCCCGCCCGGGCAGGACCCGGTCCTCCACTCAGGGTTTGCCGGGGTCCGCCAGGTACTCCGATGCGCTCAACATGAAGAAGAAGGCGACCGCTATGGCCGCCCACAAAGAGGCGTCCCCGACCTTCCAGGTGTTGAACTTCTTGTAGAGCCATGACAGCATCTCGATCGTGACGGGGTACTTCCAGTTCCGCTTGGCCCCCGTCCGTCGGAGGCCGCCCAGGGCCAGCCACACCCGCGGGGCCAGTTCTAGGGGGTCGGGGCGCCCGAACTCCACGTGGAAGCGGCGCGCGGCAAGCAGCTTCCCCCGGATAGTGCCCTCCGACCTCCCTCTGCGGGCCTGGTGCGCTATCCATTCCAGGAGCACCTCCTCGACCTCCTTTCGCCCCTCCCTCCCGCCAGGAAGGGGCTTTGGCTCTGGGCCCTCATGAAGTAGAGCCACTGCTGCCAAGCGGTGGAGTAGGCTGTCTGGGTCCCCTGCGCGAGGTTCCCGAAGATGTATCCGTCCCGCTCCCTACGCCTCTGCTCAGTGAGGTGCCCACTGCCGATCTGGGCCTGCAGGTGGGGTTGTTCCCTGGGTCCCCCCTTAGGGCGGGTTCTTCTCGTTCCCCCCCCCTCGGCCCGGTCCCTGAGCTCATCTTCCTCGGCTAATGCGAGGTGGTGGGCGCTCACCTGGCGGCGCCGGCCGAAAGCTCCCTCGGCTGGCCTCCCATCCCTGCCTCCCAGGCGCCCCCAGTGGTTGTAGGGTCCGTCTGGGTTGCTTCTCTCTCTCTCTCTCTTTCTCTTTCTCTCTCTCTCTCTCTCTCTCCCCAATTTCTCTGGTCAACTCTGCTCGCAACTCTCTGGCCCTGGTACATTTTCACGATCAAGGACCCAGCTGCTTGGCCACCACCGAGACATCCCAAACCCTAGAACCATATGCTGCCAAGACTCCGAAAACGGGAACCGGAAAGCCAGAAACCCACCAAACCTTACACTGCTGGGGACCCCAGAATCCAGAACTGGGAACACAGCCGCCCACCGAACCAGGAACCTTGGAACACAGTCAACCTTACCCTTGCCGGGAATCCTGGAACCAAGAACCCGGGAACCCAGCCGACCTTACACTGCCGGAAACCTCGGGAACTGGGTACCAGGAACCAAGCTGCCTACCGAAAACAGCCTGGGACTTCTACCAGGTCCTTCCATATTTGCGAGGACCCCCCCCAGTTCCAGCACTGATTGGGGAACAACGTTGTGATTGTTGCCGCGACGCGAGGAGGGCGGGCACTCTGGCCCCATTTGGAAGGGCTGGAACCTCGCAGACCGCGGCAGCCTCCAACGCCGCCTCGAGCGCCCTCCTGTGGCGGCCCGCACAGGGGGCTGTCGCGAGGGGGGCGGCTTGTTAAGAAGAAGGCGGGGGGAGCTTATCAGCAGGCAATGGCCTGGCCAGAAGTGCGTCGAAAATTCCAGAGGTCTCCTCAGAAGCCCCCAGGCCCGTCTCAGAGCCACTGCCTTCTAAAGCGGCCTCCCGCCTCCTCCTTGGAGGGCCGCTCCCCTTGCGCAGAACGGCATGCGCATCAAACTTCGGAGGCCCGCGCGGAAAGTTTGATCGTGCGCGCGAGGACCTCAACTCCGGACGTCGGCGCCGTTCGCACAGGCCAAGAGTGACTACCTACCAGACCACCCCAACCCAACCCGAAGACCCGAATTTCGGGTTGGGGGGGGTAAGGGTTCCACATGTGTTTTTCCGATGTTTCCCGACCCCCCCCCCCACTGGAAATCGAGGGTAAATCTGAGCCCTCGGGTTGGGTTGGGGTGGTTTGGTGGGTGGTGAAAGAGCGGGGCACACGAGGGCTCGGAGCCCCTGCCTGCGGGGCCCCGGATCCGACCGCCCTGGGCAGGGAGCACACAAAGGACGTGCGCGCCCAGCTATGTACATGAACACGGCCCCTTGACCCGCGAGACCTGCCGCGCGATGCGAACATTCGCGCCATGCGAACTCTCGAAACCAGCGTGGATTCATGTACATGTACGTCCTTCTTTCGCTCCTGACTGGGAGCGCCGACCCAAAACGCCGACGACGGCCCCCCGTGCGAGCCCGAGCGATCGAACTCTCGGCCAGCGCCGCTGACCTCCGCCGGCGAGGCCGCCGGCGAGGCCGCCCTCGTTTCACTTCCGCCGCTTTCGGCGTGCCTGCCGCCCTTGGAAGATACACAGCCAAAACGGGCACACCCTGCGAAATGCTTAAGAAATCATGGGTTAAGAAATTCACAGTCTCAGAATTCAACTAAGACCCAGAAATTATATCAAAATCTTGGGAATTAAATTGAAACATTAAGAATAATCGAGACTCTGGCTGAAAATTTAAGTTGTCTTGAGCATCGCCTGAGGTGTATGAAGGACGGGCGGCAAGGACGCAGGACCCTTTGAGGCCGGAGTTGGGAATTGCGGGCGACGGGCGACCAGGGAAAACGGCCGAGAACGGGCCGCAGAGGCGAGGACACAGGGATACCTAGATGAAGGCGCGCGTCCTTACTACGCGCGTTGACTGTATCGACTTCTCGATCCCTCCAAGACAACCCTGAGATTCGACGTGGCAGAAAAGTGCAGCATCGCCACAAAACCACGCCCGCAGCCCTAGACCCCCACTGTCCTGCTGCGCCTTTCGAGCCAGACCGACATGTGACAGCCCTGGGGCCCGACACCGGCCGAAAACGCCTGGCGTGAAAAACCTGCACGGCCCCGACCTCAGGGAAGGCCATGGGAGGCCTTCCGCCCCCTCCTCCTCCTCCTCCTCCTCCTCCTCCTCCTCCTCCTCCTCCTCCTCCTCCTCCTCCGCCTCCGCCTCCGCCTCCGCCTCCGCCTCCGCCTCCGCCTCCGCCGCCCTTCCGCCGCCCTCCGCCGAGGGAGAGGTGGCGAGTCCCTCGAACCTCGAAGGCGCGGCCCCTTCTGGAACGCCCCGGGCGTTTGTGCCGGCTCCTCGCGACGTGGGTCCGAACTGGTTTGGGCCGCTAGCGCGCGCCAGAGCCCGGGCGGCCTGCGCACGCGCCTCCAAATCCAGGGACCGCAGCTCTGCTTTGCTCGTGGAGGTGACCGTCCTGCCGAAGGCCCAGGCCGAGAGGGCACCGATGGCCGCCCCAGAGAGCAGCGCCAGCAGCACGGCCACCGAGAATCGGTCAGGAGGGTGGACGGGGCCGAATCCGCTCAAAATCCGTCCCCACCCCTCCTGGGGTCCACGTGGTGGAATGTTTCACCCTGGATCCGCTTTTGACGGCCCAGGGTCCCGGAAACGGCCCCCGGAGGCCGAGAGAAGCTCCAGCGCCTCGCTGAGGGGGCCCAGGGGCACGCAAACAGATAGACACCAACCCCAGGAGTCCCCAGACTTGCCCTCCTTCTTTGGACTCCTCTCGTCTGCCCCTCCACTTCCCACCTCGTCCACGATTCTCCTCGGGACCGACGGTTCTTTGAGCCTCTATGTTTCTTTCCCTCCTGGCGTCAGCGGCTCCTGTCGCGCGCCCTCGCGGCCCTGCGGAGCTCCGCCACGGCGCCGGGCCGGGCCTCCAGCGCCCACAGCGCGTGCCCGGCCCTGTCGAGCCACTCCTCGCCGGCGAGCCGCAGGGCCGACTGGGACTCCAGGGCCTGCCGCAGCGTCTGCTGGTCCTCGGGGAGCTCCGAGGATCAAGGCTCCAAGACGAGGATGACTGACTGACACAACGAAGAAGTGTTTTTCGTCATGCAAAAACCACACACGCACAATTATGGCTGCATTTTTCTGTCATTGTTACTTCTTTCTTTCTTTCTTTCTTTCTTTCTTTCTTTCTTTCTTTCTTTCTTTATTTCTTTCTTTCTATATATATAAGGGGGAGAACAACACAAATAATAAAAAAACGGCTGTTGACCACTGATGGGCGCCCGACAGGCTGCCTCAGTGAATTCAATCGACGTGCGCACGCTCACGCACGGCTAACCTTACACGTGCGGACGCGCCCTGCGCAGAGAGTGCCGGGCGCAGGGGCCGAGGCGGGCCCCGCCAGCGAGGGGACCGAACGGGGCACGACAGAACCACCGACGAGGGCCGAAGGCCACGAGCGAAAAGCGAGAGGAGAGGCGAGGGGAGGAGGAGAAGGATTACACCCTGCGAAATGCTTAAGAAATCATGGGTTAAGAAATTCATAGTCTCAGAACTTGAATAAAAACCCAACATTTCTATTGAAATCTTGAGATGTACATTGAAATGTTAAGAATAATCGAGACTCTGGACGAAAACTTAGGTTTTCTTAAGCATCGCCTAGGGTGTACAGTCGGGGCGCTGACCTAAGGAACCCTAAATTAGAAACGAGGCCCCTTGTTCTCATACGTTAAACTTCGATGTCCCATGGAAGACCTCAGGAAGACCTCAGGCAAACTGTTAAACAATCAAGGAACACCGAGCCCCTCCCCAACGAAAAGGGTTCTTTCTTCAGCGCCCCGACTGTATCAGCGAGAAGGCGAGGTGTGAGGAAGAGGTGCCCTAGTTACAATACTTGACCTGTGGTGGCGAGGGGGCGCTTGGCATCAGGAGCACCACATGTGTCAAAGGGTGTCCAGATCGACCAAAAACATCCAACGCTGAACATTAGGCAGACTTCCAAGCCCCCAGCGCTGTTCAATGACAAAATTACCCGAAACGTACCCGACCCCTTCTCCACGCGAGGCGAATACTTGCATAAACGCTCCGTACAAAAGAACACATCGCCAAATGTGAACGATCTGCGCTGCCCTCCTCCCCCACCGTGCCTCCCAGGAGCCCTGCGGAGATGGCGACGATTGCGAGCCTCGTAGCCTCCTAGGGAGCAGCGAGGTCTCGGCTGGATCCGCGTGGCCCCCGAGTAGTAGTAGTAGTAGTAGTAGTAGTAGTAGTAGTAGTAGTAGTAGTAGTAGTAGTAGTAGTAGTAGTAGTAGTAGTAGTAGTAGTAGTAGTAGTAGTAGTAGTAGTAGTAGTAGTAGTAGTACTATTAGTAGTAGCGGGCTGAGTAGTGATCGCAGTACTCGTTATAGTGCCAAAATACCAACAGTTTGGCTACCTTTCGTGATACCTCCAAGGAGCCAACGAAAGCCGCGACGGCTGCGCCGATCGCACCACACCGGGGAGCAGCGAAGCCTCGCCTGGGCGCGCGCTCCGGCGCGACCCCGCGGGGACCTCCCGGGAGCCCGGGAGCATGGCCACGGCTGCGCGCTGCGCCGTTCGTGAGCGAGCAACGGCATGTGTACACGTACGCCCTCCGCGGTATTGCGTGCACGAACCTCCGCGTTCCAACGCAACTCGGCGGAAACAAACCGCGTACATGCACACATGTTGTTGCCCTCTGAGTTCGCGGCCTCCCAGAGAGCAGCGGGGCCTCGCCTGGGGGCGCGCGGCCCCCGACCCCGCCGGACCTCCGAGGAGCTCACGGAAGTGGCGCGACGGCGGCGCAGTTCGCATGCCACCCGAGGAGCAGCGAGGTCGGGTCTGGGTGCGGGTGGCCCCCAGCTCCGCTGGACCGCCAGGGAGCCCACCAAAGTGCCCACAGTCGCGCAGTTCGCGACCTCCCAGAAAGCAGCGGGGTCTTGTCTGAGTGCGCGCGGCCCCCGATTCCGCTGGACCTTCAAGGAGCCCACGCAAGTGGCGACGGTTGCGCAGCTCGCAGCCTCCCAAGGAGCAGCGACGTCTCGTCTGGGTGCGCGATGCCCCCGACTCCGCTGGACCGCCAAGGAGCCCACCAAAGTGTCGACGGTTGCGCAATTCGCTGCCACCCAGGGGGCTGGAAATTCCACTCTGGGTCTGCGTCCTCCTCTGTTCCGCCGTGCCTCCACGGAGCCCTGGAGCCACTTGCGCAGTTCGAAGCCCCCGCATGGAGCTGCGATGTCTCGCCTGGGTCCGCGTACCCTGCTTCGCCGCTGTGTCTCCCAGAAGCCCACGAAAATGGGGACGGTTGCGCATTTCCATTTACCCAGGCAGCTGCGAGGCTACTCCGCCGTGCCTCCCAGGAGCCCACGAAACTGGCGACGATCGCAAAGTTCGAAGCCATCCAAGGAGCTGCGAGGTTCCGCGTAGGTCCTTTACTCCGCGGTTTCCGCGCGGCTCCCTAGAACACACGAACGTGGCCACGGTTGCGCAATTCGCAGCCCCCAAAGGGAGGAGGAGGAGGAGGAGGAGGAGGAGGAGGAGGAGGAGGAGGAGGAGGAGGAGGAGGAGGAGGAGGAGGAGGAGGAGGAGGAGCCGCGAGGTCCCGCCTTGGATCGTGTCCTCCGCGATTTTGGCGAGCCTCCCAAGAGCCAGCGAAAGCGGCGACAGCTGCGCAGCTCGCAGCCCCCAAGGAGCTGCGAGGTCCCGTTTGGGCCCGTTCACTCCGCTACTCCGCCGTGCCTCCCAAGAGCCCCAAATTAGCCTGGCGAAAGACCCAACCATATTCAGCTGTAGGTACCGCGATCGCGTGTATGATCTTCGATGTTCTTGATCGGGGGGAGGGGGGCGCGAAATGTGTGAGGGTGTCTCCCTCTGTGGGCCACGAGGCGGTGCCTGGTTTGCAGTACGCCACGCAGGGCTCCGCAGCTCCGCAGGTCGCTCCACCCAGGTGGGCTTCCCTGTGGGGCCGCGAAGCGTTGTCATGGGTGGGGGAGACGCATGCGAGCACCGCCACAGGGGGCCTTAGGTGGATTGTGGGGCCGGGAAACGCTGTCGTGGGTGGGGGAGACGCATGCGAACACCGTCACCGAGGCCTTTTGTGGAGCTCCCTGTGGGGCCACGAAACGCTGTCCTGGGCGGGGGGGACGCGCGTGAACACCGCCATTCGGGGCTTAGGTGGAGTTCGATGTGGGGCCACGAAGCGCTGTCCTGGGTGGGGGAGACGCATGCGAACTGCCGCTGGGGCCGTAGGTGGAGCTCCCTGTGGGGGCCCAAACGTTGTGCTGGGTGGGGGACGCATGCGAACACCGCCACTGGGACCTTAGGTGGAGGTCACTGTGGGGCCACGGAACGTGGCCCTGGGCGGGGGAGACGCATGCGAACACCGCAATTGGGACCTTACGTGGAGCTCGCTGTGGGGCCACGAAACGCGGCCCTGGGTGGGGGAGACGCATGCGAACACCGTGGGGGAGACGCATGCGAGCACCGCCACGGGGCCGTAGGTGGAGTTCCCTGTGGGGATACGAAACGCTGTCCTGGGGGGGAAGACGCATGCGAACACCGCCACAATGGGCCTTAGGTGGAGTTCCCTGTGGGGCCACGAAACGTTGTGCTGGGCGGGGGGGTGGGGGGAAACGCATGCGAACACCGTGGGGGAGACGCATGCGAGCACCGCCAGTGGGGCCGTAGGTGGAGCTCCCTGCGGGGGAGACGCATGCGAACACCGCCACTGGGGCCGTCACTGGAGCCCTCTGTGGGGCCACGAAACGCTGTCCTGGGTGGGTGAGGCGCATGCGAACACCGCCACTGGGGCCGTAGGTGAAACCCGATGTGGAGCCGCGAAACGTTGTATACTGGGCGGGGGAGACGCATGCGAACACTGCCACAAAGGCCTTAGGTGGAGCTCGACGTGGAGCCGCGAAACGCTGTATACTGGCTGGGGGAGACGCATGCGAACACCGCCACAGGGCCTTAGGTGGAGCTCGATGTGGGGCCGGGAAACGCTGTCCTGGGTGGGGGAGACGCATGCGAACACTGCCACAAACGCCGTAGGTGGAGCTCGATGTGGGGCCACGAAACGCTGTCCTGGATGGGGGAGACGCATGCGAACACCGCCACAAGGGCCTTAGGTGGAGCTCGATGTGGAGCCGCGAAACGCTGTACACTGGGTGGGGGAGACGCATGCGAACACCGCCACTGGGACCTTAGGTGGGGCTGCCTGTGGGGCCACGAAACGCTGTCCTGGGTGGGGGAGACGCATGCGAACACCGCCACAAGGGCCTTAGGTGGAGCTCGATGTGGGGCCGCGAAACGCTGTCCTGGGCGGGGGGGACACACGCGAACACCGCCACTGGGACCTTACGTGGAGCTGCCTGTGGGGCCACGAAACGCTGTCCTGGGTGAGTGGGTCCTGGATGGGCGGGTGTGATGATGACGGCGACGACGACGACGAGGACATGCGCAGAGCAGAGGCAGAGATGGGAGGAGGGAGGAAGGGGAGGAGGAAAGGAGGAAATAAGGAAGGAAGGAACGCGGGGACCGTCTCTTCAATACGAGGGCCCAACACCGCAGGATGGTTGGGAAAAATGGCCGGGGTTGCGCGGCTTGCGGCCTCCCAAGGACCTGCGAGGTCCCGCCTGGGTTCGTTTAATCAAATGTTCAGCCGTGCCTCACAGGAGGCCACGGACGTGGCGACGGCTGCACAATTCGCAGCCCCCCCCCAGGGAGCTGCGAAGTCCCGCCTGTGCCGCTTACTCCGCTAAGCCGCCGTGCCTCCCATGAGCCCGCGAAAGTGGAGACGGTTGCGCAGTTCGCACCCCCCCCAACGGAGCTGCGAAGTCTGGCTTGAGTCCGTTTACTCCGCTACTCCGCCATACCTCCCATGAGCCTACGGAAGTGGCGACAGTTGCACAGCTCGCCTCCTCGTGCTCCAGGCGCAGCGCAGTCCGTTGGCGCTTGGCCAGCTCGGCTTCCAGGGCCTCGGACGGAAGCAGGGCCAGCAAGCGCCGCCTCGGGG